TCATGTTATGAATATAATTTTTTTTATAAATTCTGCCTGTGCAAACCTTGGTATATTATCCCTAGTTTTATAGCATTTTCTGTTGATAGTGATGCTTATAATTTTTACTTGCTCAGCTTAAGGTGTGAGTATATTAAGTAATCCTCGTTTGTTACAATATCTAGCATTAAAATCTGAAAGGAAGAACAAATAGAATGGTGAACAAAAATGTCCTTAAATTCTGCCAACTTTCATTATATTTTCATATTTTTGTATATTTCTGTTGGATAGATTACATAGCCATAAGGGATCGTTGTGATCGTCTTATCTCCTGCTGTATAACACAGACAACAGAACTTCCCCAAAGTAATTCCTAGAGCACATTGTTTAGAAAAACATCCAATCTTGATTTAAAAATCACCAGTGTACTGCCAGCCTGGGTAAATAGCTCCAATGTTAAAAATTTGTGTCTTATTTCCAGTCTGATTTGTCCAGTTTCAACCTCCAGCCTTTGAATCATATTGTACCTTCCTCTTCTAGATTTGAAGAGCCCATTATTAACTATTTGTTCCCTATGTAGGTAGTAATAGACTGTAATCAACATTCTCTTTGTTAAGCTAAATAGATTGAGGTCTTTGATTCTATCACTAAGGCATGTTTTCTAATCCTTTAATCATTCTTGTGGCGTTTCTCTGAACACTTTCCAATTGATCAACGTCCTTCTTGAACTGTGGACATGAGAAGTGGATGCAGCATTTTAGCAGTGGTCACATCCGTGCCAAATACAGAGGTAAAATAACCTCTCCACTCCTCCTCAAGGTTCCCGTTTGTACACCCCAAGAACTCATGTTCAGCTGATTATCCACCATGATCCCCAAATCTTTTTCAGAATTACTGCTTCCCAGGATAGTCTCTCTCATTCTGTAAGTATGGCCTACGTTCTTTGTTCCTAGATGAATACTTGTGCATTTAGCCATATTAAAACACACATTGTTTGCTTGTGCCCAGTTTACCAAGCGATCCAAATCACTCTGCATCAGTGACCTGTCTTCTTCATGATTTACCACTCTCTCTCAATTTCTGCAAACTTTATTAGTGATTTTGTTTTCGTCCAGGTCATTTGATAAAAATGTTAGTGTAGGGCCGAGAACTTGTTCCTGTGGGACCTCACGGTAAACACACTTGTTTCATGATGATTCCCTGATTACAAATATTTTTAGAAACCTACCATTTGGGCAGTTTTTAATCCATTTAATGTCTGCCGTGTTTATTTTA